ATCCAGATTCAAAAAGAAGTAGGCTAGTTCAGAGGTATTTTCCTGGGCCTGATTATAATGTAAACAAACAACGACTGGTAGATTGATTCATAATGGGTGGTTGGGATAGCATCGATGATGCCCTTAAGATGGCTATCATGTACTTCATTCATATTTGTATTATCTCAACTTGGTACTGCAACAATTCCAATTGAAGATTTCTTAATGGTTGAAGACGGTAGTTATCAGCAGTTTTCGTGGGGACAATGGGCCTTCATAAGGTTAATGAATTCACTTAGACAAGAGTTCAAACCTGAGAAACAAATGTATCGCTTAAATGGTATGTCATACGCACTTAAAGTATGGGTATATGAATGTGCGTCTGTGCTAGATAATGACATATCTGTTAAAGAACAAAATATTATTCCAAGGATATGCAATTGGAAAGTTGTGACTGAAAAGCCCAAATTTGAGATGTTTATGGAAAGCATTTTTTACGGAGGTAATTAATATACAACAACTTTTTTTTTTATAGTTCTCGATACATTTTTTGTTGCTTCTAATCATGATTCAACATTTTGTTTTTACAAAATAATTGTGCTAATATTCAGCCAACTGCCAAGGAAATCACATCACTTGATTTACCTCATATCAGTCACGTATCTCCAACTGAACTTGCCCCATCAAATGTTAATCCTGAGGTTGGGCAGCCACAAGAGGTTCCTGGATTTGAAGACTTTTCATCCAAACCTCTGAATCAATTGTTAAGGAGATCAATACGAGTCTCTAGCACAAGATCTACCCCACCACCGAAGAGAAGAAAGGTTGTACATCCACATAAAACTAATGTTCCCAAAGCCACACAACCAGATGAGCAACCAAATCAGCCATTTCAAACTCCGAATTTATCAACGTCAGAAGCTAGCAATGTATCTGGTGTTCCTAATAATTCTGATATTCGAAAAGTTATTTTCGACAATTCACAATTAGAGGGACTGAAGCAATACTTGAAGGGTTATGTAAGTATTACAATCATATGTTTTATACATCTGGTTATTTACCCTTAATTCCTTGAAACATGTGTAATTTGAATATAGGTTGACTAACAAATTGGCTATCTTGAGGAGTTAATAAAACAAAATCATTCTGAGTTGATGAAAGCTGTTGGCGCGAAAGATAACAAAAGTGAAAAGGTATTATTTTTCCATTTTTGTTTGCCTTTTCATTTTGTGTTATACTGATTTTTTGATTCCTGAAGGATATTGGTGGCATTTCTATGCCATGTATGGTGGATGATTCTATAGAGAAAGATAAAGTTGATCCACAATCCACTTCTCACCAGTCCTTTCAACAACCTATTTCACCTATACACATGGATTTTTCAATTCATGATCAAGATATTGATGGATCTGCTGATGATGTTGAAGAACATGTTACTAAAATCAATGTTGCAAAGGTATGCATATGATACATAAACACATTATATTCATTAATATCAATCTACCATTTGGAATAGTGAATATGACACACTAGTAATTTCAATCAGGTATCCTATTAGTGTATCATTGTCATAGTTTTTGAATAATATATTTTATTGTTATTGTATATACTTTATCTAAGATATGTTATATACCTTGTATATGTTATTTAAATCAACTGTGTTGCAAAGGAATGCATCTGATACGTAAACACCATACATACATTAATGTCACACAATTTAGAATTTGACACATTGGTAAAATTAGTTAAGTTTCTTACTAGTGTATCATTTACATACTTGATACTTTATATAATCATTAAAGTTATAAATAAACAGTCTGATGTTATTGTGTATCAGTGACTGTACATGGTAGATTGATAATGACTTTTTATTAAATAAATATTATTGAATCATGTTTATTATCATTCTAACATTTGAAGATACTTTAAGTGTATTGTTGTTTAACCACAAACATGTTTAGAGTGATGATACATCATTTAAGGAACAAGTTATGGAGGATGCCACATAGGTTATACACACAACACACCATAGTCATGTTTTGATTGAAGAAGTTGTTCTTAATAAATAAGCTGTAAGTATAGATTTTCTGGATCATTATACATTTATTATTTTGTATGTATCATAATATAATCAATATCTTATTTATTAGGATGACGCAATAGATATAGCCCCTCAATCAGACACAAAGGTTTTGAGTGGGGATGAACATGGTGTTGATACACTTTAGCAAAACCTAGTAAAGCACGCTTCAAATCTATTTCTTGTTGATACATCTGTAAGGTTCATAACTGTATGTGATAAGTTGTCTATTTTTATTTTAACCTTTTTCTTATAATTACCTAATATTGTGTAGGATTGTACCACATCGTCTTCAATTTCATCTGGTACTGAAGCTGTCGTAGATGCACTTATATGTGCATTTCCAAACCAGCCAATTAAAGTCAAATCATTGAGTTCGATCAGTCAACTCGAACTAACTGACAATGCTGATTGGTTATCTGACAGTCAACTACCCACCCAACTTCCAGTAAAGGAATCTGCACATAATCCTGATACAAAGACTCCATCGCCACGCAATAGGATGCCTTCAAGAATTGTACGGTCTCCGTATTTGACTTCTTTTGGATCCAAGGATAAAGGCAAGGCGAAAATAGATGACGATGTTCGCCAACTCCATCCATTTGAAGGATGTGGCATTCTTTATCAAATGTCGTTAGGTTTGATAGATGAGTTCTCCTAGTGGATTGAAAAAGGGACTCCTAAAATCACATGCGAATAAGTAAGTTTTTATAATATATCTTGCTACTTTTGTGTTGTATAAAATTCTTCTTCTTTTGATTATAAACATTCTTTCCATGTATAGGAAACCATTTGAGGACAAATATAGAGCAAAATCTGCTCTATTTGGTGTTGATCATATTGATTTTGTTGTCGCATTTCCTTTGGACAAGAACTGGTTTTATACTATGTCACAGCAAAAAAAATCTTGGACTGATGAGGTATCATATACATTATTTTGATAAATTTAATTAGACTTCTTATAATTATGTATATGATACTCATTGGAAATGTATCAGTTACAATCTCAAATTAGTTTTAGTATTTTTTTTCCATGTGTCATATATTTTTTATCATATTGTGTTGATTTTATGTATTATGTTGTCTTCTATATTTTGCAGCATATAGATGTAACCTTTTACTATATATGTAAGAAGTCTAAACAAAGAAGCATGGATCAGTACAAATACACTACAGTCAATTGCTTGCTTAAGTCTCACATCAACAATGCACACACAAGGTATTATAATAGTCCTGCAAATGATATTATTAGTACACAGGAACACATTGCTCGTGGTGCTGCCGTTTCTGTTCATGAAAGGTCTATCATTAACGTCATCAATGGATTTTCGATCCCTGCTGCTTTACCATGGCATTTAGTAGATGAGGTTTACATTCCAGTAAACTGTGCTAAAGAATTTCATTGGGTGTTGGCTGTGGTGGTTCTAAGAAAAAGGCTAATAAGGGTGTATGACTCAGATTCGGGACCAAGAAAAAAAGTTCATTCTGGAGACATAAAGAAGTTGTCTCAAATCCTTCCAAACTACCTTCATGATAGTGGGTTCTTTGAAAAGACAGAGAGAACTGATTGGGCAGCATTGGACGCTTATAAAGACAAGAAAATCGGAGAAATTTTGAGTCCACAACATTCGTTTGATGTGGAGTTTGCTCAAGATATCATGCAACAAGAAAGCAATAGCCTGCCAGTATTGTATCATTCTTTCTCTAATTTTTGTATCTAATTCATTCTTATAATTAATCTTCTTATTTTTTTTAGTGATTGCGGAATGTTCGTAGCTGCATTTGCTGAATTCTTGAGCGATGAAATTAACATGTCATATGATAGTTTTGGAAGTGACTATCTTCGCAAAAGATATGCAACACAGTTATGGAAGTATGGTCTCGACAAGGCCAAGGCAGGATATGTTAGTGACATGATGACCCTCCAAGGCTGAAGAGCGTCTTAAATCCAGCAGCAGAAAATGAACTTGTTAATGTAGGCTAGTTAGTTTTCTATGTTCCTATTCACATGCACATGTTGATACTTATTTGTTTTTTAAGATATATTAATTAGTGTTTTGGAGTATTTACTACCCTTTTAATAATATAGTTTTAAATTTGGAAGAGTTTTGAGGTTTAAAATTGTTTATTTTTGCTTTTAATTTTCTATTCAGTTCAGTTAGGACTTCAGAAAATTATGTATCCGATAAGTGTGATAATAATGACATTAATGAAATTTTGTGACTGAAAAACATGGCATTAATGTATCTGATAATTTTGTGACTGAAAAATATGACATAGCATTAGAATTTTTAAAAATAATTATTATGTACATGATACAAAAATGCTTACAAAATAACAAACTTGAATGTATCACAAATTGTGATACTATATGTTACACGTGATACACACCAGTTAATTTTTTAAACATTAAATATCTTTTAACATGACGATTCGTACAACATTTTGTACAAATCATAGCACTTGATACTATATTATTAAGTAATATGATTTATCAAGAAGAAATTTATATATATTACACACAATAATTATGTATCATAATAAGAAAATTTATTAAGTATCTAAACATATGATACTATATTGCTAAACTTGATACAATTACATATAATTTCACAATTTCACCCTATTTAGTGAATTTTACATGTTGTTTCTTATACCTTTGGGTACAAATCTCAGCAATTGATGCTAATTGAATTTTCGATGCAAAAGTTTCAAAAATTTAAGTATCAGATACATAATATATATATATATATATATATATATATATATATATATATAAAATTAACTTTGACAGAGTTTAACAAACAAAAATTATAGAACCCATTGATAAACATTTCAATTCAATTTATTGCATCAGAATCTGTGTGTAACAGTAGAAACAAATGCTACACTTTGAAAATTATTAAACATGAAATATCAAAGTACTCTGGAAAAATAATCATCAAGAATCTTTTGGGAAGAAAGTACATGTTCTTCTATTGTGACCTTCTTGTCCACATTGTCCACAACAATTCGTGTTTGCGGTTAGCTTTTCATCTGCATTTTTCTTCCTTTTTTTCCTTGGTCTACCAGACATTTTTTTGTATCTTGGTGGCAAGACAACTTCTTCCAAAACACTTTCCGGAACTGTCCAATCACTTTTGTCTGGCATTGGTTCCATTTGAACTGCATATGTCTTTGCTAATGCATCAGGTTTATAGTAATCAGAGCAGTAGGGGTGTACATCTTTAATATTCTTCTTCTTGAAAACAGCCATTGCGTGCGCATAAGGTATCTCATCATATTGAAATCTACCACAAGAACAATTCTTTCTCTCCAGGCAAACAATGTATCTTATCCCACCTTCATAAACTGAAAAAATAAATTTAGAAGATGCAACAACATGCAATAATTTACAAGTTATTGATACATAACATGATACACAACAATCTAAAGAAAATTTAAGCAAGATACATAATAGTTGATATATGTATAAGTACCTTCATTTTCGCACATTTTGATGCGTTTATAATCAATATCTCTTCAAATTTTCTCCCTAATGTTTCCTTTGTATAAGATGCTATTTCTCTATTTTTGCAGTTCCAAGAACTAAATAGAATTCTAGCTTCTTCCAAAAAGTCCAAAACAGGTAGTTGTCGTGCCTCGACAAGGCAACCATTAATACATTCCGCAATACTAGAAGTCATCATTCTGCCCCTGTTCACGGTTGCATGAGATCTAGACCACCTTTCATACCCAGCCTCTTCAAGATACTTCTTAACTCTGACATCTACTTTTTTCACTTTAGCCATCAATTTTTCAAAATCCTTTTTTCGATAAGCCTTAGACATCGAATAAAAAAGATCACTTAGTGTGTTTCTACTTCTCTTGAAGTATGTATAAACATTTTTTCACATGTGCCATATGCATGCAAAATGAGGAACATTTGGATAAACTATACTTACACTCTTCATTATGCTTTCATTTCAGAAACAACACATATTTTTTCTCTCTCACCAAACACATTTTTGAACTGTGTGAAGAACCATGTCCATGAACAATCATTTTCCGTGTCTACAATTTCATAAGCTAACGGTAATATGCAACCTTGACACAGGCAATACACAATATTACCATACTTGATTCATAATTGTGGCAAAATTTTATAATTACTATTTAAAAAATTAAATTAATCAACAACATGACATACTTGCCCCATCCAACGTACTTGCGGATACAAACGTCCCTTTGTAAGCTCCACTAAGATGTGAACCATCAACAACAACAACAGGCCTACAAAACTCAAACCCTCTCATCAATGTCCTTAATGCAAAGAATAGATACATAAATTCATTTTTTTCCGATTTGTGCATCCGTATATATGAATTTGGATACACACTTTCCAACATATATATGTATCTTGGCATATGTCTATATGCATCTGCAGGATTACCCCTTATCAACTCTAGTGCACGTTCTTTAGCACGCCATGCTTGGTAAGAAATCTCAACACCATACATCTCCCTAACATCATCAATTATATCATTTGGAGTATGTTTTCTTTTGTGATTTACCAGTTTTGGAGCTGTCACACCACCAATAAACCCAACAGTAGCTTGTACCTTACTTAATACCCTATCCCTCAATGGACATGTATGTTTACTGTTGAAGTATCTTACTTTGAATATTTTTCCTAACAGACGCCTTCAATTTCCAACAACAATCCTTAGAATAACACACTAAAACATAGCTGCAATTATACCATATACATTAATTAGTTGTTAGCTTCTGATGTATACTTTTAATATAAAAAAAAAGACTTGATACATTATTATAACTTAAAACAATGTTTGTAAAAGTATGTATCATGTACATAAACACCTTATATACCTTAAAAATGTTGTTCATAATACAATGTTGTTTACACACTTTACAGAATATAATGTTGCATTATGTTCGATAAGTGCTGAATTATTGTACGTGCTGAGTTTATGTATTTGTGTGGAGTGAAAGCTGTAAAACTCAGTGGACAATGATATGAATGATCATTCACATACCTTTTCGTATCAGACCGTTTAACTCTAAAATTCAAGCTATTCTTTATTTTGTATTGTCATTACAACCACAAGAGTTGCTTTATCCTTGTACAATTGTTTCGTCTCCACCTTTGTGATATTTGTATCTGATATTTAATTTGCTATCTCCATCTCTGGTATGTAATAGGAATCACCAATTTTCGATTCAACAATGCTTAGTGCATTAGCGTCCCTTTTTCCACCTTCAATACACACGATTGCACCACTGCTTGAATCGAAACCTTGTACCTCTTCTTTACTTTTATCAGACGTATCAACGCATAGTGGATACATACTGAATCCAACCTCCTACTTCTTTATTTCTACTTACAATTTCACTCCCATATCATTCCTAATTATCATATGAGATGAATTACCTTCTACAATATATCGGATCTCTACATTTTTTTTCAATTCATCAATATTCAATTCAATTGCAATGGCTGAAATAAGATTCACATATGAAATATTTTCCCCAACCACTATCCCATCACTTTTGTATCGCTCGTATCTAACCTCACTCTCCCATATTCCTGAATGCCTTAACAAGATCGAAATATTCATTACGAATTTTCACAAAATCACCTTCAAATAAAATTATGAACCACGTTTCTGAACCTTTTTTTGGACGAACAGGGATAAACAATTCAAAATTTGTATTTTCTAATTATTTTAGTGTTTCATATAGACTGAAACTGAATGTTTGAAACAAATAAATTAAGGCGTATTTTGGGGGACTGTTAATGTTAGCGTATTTGGGGGGATGAAATTAAATTTTCAATTTCTAATCACTTACATCACGCAACAAACTGATAATGCTGCATCAAATATAATGTATCACACGACATAATTGATGTATCCGAAAATTACTAAAAAGATGGAATTTTTGTAATTTGTGAAAGGAGTAGGGATAAGAGGTAATTTGTGTCTTACACTATGTGATTTGCATAATTTTTACATGAATTAATAACTTTGAATCAGGTGAAGGAGATGAAGGGTACACATATTTATAATTATGATTCATACGCATCAATTAAATATTTCAATAACTATTATTTCTATCACAAACAGTTACTATTTTGTGTAGGTGTTCACCACATAGCTGATAATGATCTACTAGCTATCCTAAGGAAGACATATGTTGATCAAATTTCTATACAATATTTACAAAATATTACTCTCATTCGACAACAATTTTTTATATGTATATGACTCATATGTCACAACACAAAATTTAAATATTGGCATTATGGTTGTAAAAAATTTCATGGTTTCCAATTTTTGCCTTATTTCTAAGATGTTGTAGCCTCCACATTTTTACACTCGTAAAAAAAGATTATTTCTCAAGTTGACACTTGACATATTATAATAATTATATAATTGAAGTCATTCGAATATTACTTTTGAGATTCTTTTGATACCAATATATAAGCTTATATTTTTCCACTTTAATTTCTATGCAATTCATCGTATAACATCTATTATAGTATTTCTGAAGTATTCACACTGATATAATAAGTATGACATACATGTGAAACGTACGTGATTGAATATATAATTAATTAAATATAATCAAAAATAAATAATTTATAATATTTGTGAACTAAATCAATTTAATACTCCCACCATTCCATATTAAGTTAATTTTTGAGGCATTTTTCATTTTTTAAATTAACTTAACTGTTCAGTTTTCAAGACTATTTTTAGAGTGTTCTTTCAATTTTACCCTTCATTAATTAGTATTGGAATTAGTGATTACTTAATATTTAGTTATTTTAATCATAAATTTGATAATAATTAATAAGGGTAAAAATGGAAAACTAGGTTCAATTTAATGTCTTAATCTACTTTTCTTAAAGGGTGTGAAACACCTCAAAAATTAAGTTAATATGGAATGGAGTAATTAATAGTAATGTCCAAAGTGTTAACAAAATAGTTTCCCCTTGCCACAAAAATGTTTACAGTAATAAATTTGAAGATCATTAATGAGTATTCCTTTTCTCAGTATCATTAAGCTGCCGTAACATTTTTTTTCTTAACCAATGAATTAAGATCACATTCCCATTCCATAATGGAGCGCGCGCGCTCTCTCTAAGTCTCTCTCCCTATATATATATTAAAAGTGGAAGCTTTAAACTTCGAAGTTGAATTACGTTTTTTACCCCTCATAAATTAAAATATTATAAAACATATTAATTATTTAAATATTAAATACTATCATTTGAATTACATGAATGTGTAATGATTTTTTTGACTTCATTCAATTAATTTTTAATTAAATATCTAATTTGTTATAGTAGTTAAGTTACATTAAAGGGTGAGTAAAAAAATCATTAAGTTAAAAAGTTTGAATTAGGAGTACAAAAGTCATCAATTTTTTATGAGTATATCTATATGGTTATACCAAAATATTATTGGTTCAATGGCGTACAAAATTTATGATTTGCAAACAAACTTTTTTTAATTTGCATTTTTATTTGTTAGCTTAAGAAGTAAGTTAGTAATAAATATTGTTCTTGGACATAAATCTTCAAGATAAAAACATACAAGAAAGTAAATGGTACTTTATAATGCAATAAATAAATAATATTGTAGAAAAGTCTTGTCATCTACTCTTATTGAAATTCTTGAAGACTAACTTACCAAAACATAGATAAAGAAGTACTTTATGGAGTAGCACATTATAATAATGTAGCTAAATCTTTTTGTCTACTCTTATGAAAATACTACTGTCACGACCCAGACCGTCGTGATTGACACCCACACTAACCCTCCAGTGGGAGAACCATTACTACAACTCAAACAAGCAACTAAACCAAAAACTAAGGCATTTAAACTACTAAAACAGATTAAATAACTAATTAATGAAGTTCTCATAAACTTCAACAAGAAATCTGAAGAACTATACTAAACAAATGCGGAAGAAACAACCTAGAACCTGAAAGTCAATGTACCAAAACATCTAAACAAATGATCCAAGTCTAAACAAGAAGGGATACATCCCCAAACTAATGAACTAATCAACTAACTAGAACAAATATCTAATTCCGGAAATGATGGACAGAGGCGAAAGAGAATCCCATGGCAGTCCAGAAGAATTGTCTCACCCTTGAATTAGAAGTGACAATCACTGATCTTCTAAGCGAGGTCTATCAATAGTCGCGTGAAGATGTCCTGTAGTCAACAAAAATAAGAGCAAGTTTAGTATTAGTACACAACCACAATGTACTGGTAGGATCACGTGGCTATCCTACTAGTGTAACATAAACAAATCAAACAACATTATAATTACATGCATATATATCAACATATACAACATCATCAACATGAAGAATCAACAACGCATTCCACATTTATTATCACATTATTGGTCCTCTCATGGAACCCAAACCCAAACAGTTAGCATGCCGGAACATGGCAATTCGATTCCATATTTATGCCGGAACGTGGTAACCGATCTCATAATTATGCTGGAATGTGGCAATCCGATCCAAGTTAGTTATGCCGGAATGTGGCAATTCGATCCCATTAACACACCACAATCACAAAAACAAGTACACCATCAAGATTATACATTTAAGTCATTATTTCATGGCAATAATATTTCATCTATCTCATTTACAACAAGTGTGATCAACATTGCAACATTTATACATATACAAGTATCATAATGAAGCAAGAACAAGCACACATCACACAAACATAGAATCACAACCATTACTTACCTCAAAATAAGCTTGAAACCCTAAAAACTTGATCCTTCCCTTTTCGGATTC